TTTTTATTAAAATAATTTATATGTTCCACATGGTCGTGGCCTTAATGGTGGGTCCAACTTTTAGTTGGTATCCATCATTGGCGCACGTCACACTCCGAGTCCACTAGCTTTATCTGGGGTGGGGCGTGTCATATGGTGAAGGTAAAAAGGGACATCGTTGTTTTGATCCAATAACTCAAAAACTTTAGTGTCTCGTCATGTTGTTTTTCTTAAGTATGTACCTTTCTTTTCTATTCCATCCACTACTCATAGTTTGACTAAATCTGATCTTATTCATATATATCCTTTTTCTGACGATCTCGATAGTTTGTCATCTCAGGTTCCTAGTACTTCAAATATCCCTTTTTCATGTTCTTACCACATTATCTTTACAAATGTTAGGTTTTAGTTGATTTTGTAATTGGCTTATTCTATAGAAAAAAGGACTTTGATAGTTGATGAAAGTTCAAGGAGTAATGTGTAAATAGGTCAAAAGTTAGTTGAATAAGACTAGTGTTTCGAGTTTGGAACAAAGGAGAAAACGTCGCGGATTTTCGCTGAACTGTCTCCAGGTTATGGCTCGAGCTACAAAAGAAGAAACACTGTCGCTGAATCGTCGCCCCTCATTCGCTCGAGCGATACCCTATTGCTCGACTGTCGCTAGCCTATCGCTCAAGCGACATCTTTATACGGAAAATTTTATTTTCGCATTTAAGGGCTTTTTTCTTGGCCCATGGTTTTCTTGACCTATCTATAAATACCAAAACACATCCAGAACGAAATTATTAAGGTTGATAATTGAGAGAGCTTCATCGTGAGAGATCTATTGATTACTTCTTTCAACATTTATCTTGTTTGAGTGTTTTGGTAAAAAAAAAAAAACATTAGATTCAATATCCAAATACCAAAAACCAACTACCTACACATCTGTCAGAGAGTGCTGAAGGTCGAGGAAGACGACTGGAGTTCCAGTCTGTGAAGAACGAGTTGTTCTTCGTGATCAATGGGAGATAGACGATTCTACCAAGTTAGGGGTTGCTGTAGGATAGCGAAGTTCCTGGAGAGCATTGGTTATTATAGCTAGAATTGTTGCAGGGGAGCACAGAATTCAAGAGACCCGTCAGAATTGTAGTAAGGAGATCAAATAGTTTGTGTCGTCGTCTAGTCTGGTAGACTGTAAGTACAGAATCATTTATAATGGATTGACTGACAAAGTGCCCGGAGTTTTTCCCAATTGGATTTCTCCGTGAACAATTCTTGTGTTCGTTACTGCTTTATTATTCATTGTTTATAATATGCAAACTGCGGTAATTCAACATAAGATAATTTGACTTGCATGTTTAATCATCTAGATAAGAATTAAAAGTGACTTGTTGCTTTTTAATTCATAATTGTTTTTTAATTCCGCGTTAAATACCTATTCACCCCCCTCTAAGTATTGTTAGGGTCGAACTTGCGTTTTTCAATTGGTATTAGAGCCTTATTTCGTTTCCTGACCCTTATTTGATAAATCTAGATAAGTCAGTCGTTGTCAGTGCCTCCATTTTTCGACGGAAGCAATTATGTTTATTAGAAAGTTTGAATAAGAGCTTTTCTTAAGGCTTTGGATAAACATGTTTGGATTTCTGTGCAAACTGGATGGACTTCGCCTTCAACAACTGTGGATGATGTAGTTATACCCACTGCTATTTCATTGTGGACCAAAACGAATTTGGATGAGTGTGTTGGAACATCAATGGTCTTTATGCCTTGTTCATGGCTGTGTCTGCTGAAGAGTTTAGGCGTGCATCAATGTGTGAAACTACTAAGGAAGTTTGGGATATTCTAGAAACCACACACGAGGGAACTAAAATTGTTAAAAACTCTAAATTGCAGATGTTGACCTCTAGGTTTGAAAAGATAAGGATGGCTACGGATAAGACAAGTGATAGTTTTTATGCTAAGCTGAATGACATTTTGAATTTGAGCTTTAACCTTGGTGAGAGGATCCCAGATTCGAAAGTTGTGAGAAAAATCCTTAGATCACTGTCCGAGAGATTTAAGCCGAAAGTGACTGCGATAGAAGAAAATAAGGATTTGGATGATATTAAAATTGAGGAACTTGTAGGATCACTTAAAATTATAAACTCACCATCTCATAGCCCAAAAAGGTCAAATTCATTACCATGAACACTGTTAGAGAAGTTGAGAGTGAGTTCACTAACACTAAGACATTTAGGGACGACGAAATTGCTTATTTCGTTAAAAATTTTCAAAAGGTGATGAGGAATAGGAAGAAGCCTCAGGAGTGTAACAGTGAAGTCCCTAATCAACTCTCGAGAGTTAAGCGTGAGAGAAACACTTCTAAGACTCCCATTAAGAAATCTCAACCTGTTCAATGCCATGAGTGCAAGGGTTTCGGTCATTATAGGAATGAATGCCCTAATTTGAATAGGAGCTCAAATAAAGAAAGGTGTAAGGTTTTAGCTGTGACCATGAGTGATGAGGAGTTGGATTCCGGTTCTCAGTATTAGACTTCCGGAGGTGAAGATGAACAAAAATTCATGGCCTTCACCTCGATTGCTACTATCAAACCCAAACGTGAGATTGAGATTGGGGATAGGGAGAATGAGAGTGAACAGTCTGCTGAATAGTTTGATGATGAGACGGATATTCACAAGTCCTATCGTGAACTATTTGAGGAGAGTCTCAAAATTAAGAAGGTCAACAAAGCCGTTCTGAAAAAAGGTGAACGAGCTTGAACTTAAATGTGAAAAACTATTGAGTAACCTTCAAGACTCAACTAAGAGAGTGAGTGAGTTGAAGTTCGTTAATGAAAACTTGAAGAACAAAGTTAAATCATTATCGTATGATCTCGATAAATCCAATGCTCAACTCCAATCACTCATGAGTGGCTTGCATAAGCTGGACAATTCGCTTGGGATGAACAAGCCTACTGGTGATAGACGAGGTCTAGGTTATGTTAAGAACAATTCCAATTCTGTCAGTACCTCTAAGACTTCTTTCGTTCCTGCTTCTACTCAGCCACACATTGCTAGATTTCCTGATCCCAGAGCTGAGAGTGTCATAGGACGTAGGACACCTAGGTCTTGTAAGAACACTGTACCTCAAGGTCGATTTCATCGTTCATATGTGTCTGAGTCGAGTTTTGTACCCACTTACCATCGTTGTGGTGACTTGGGTCACATTAGGTCAAGGTGTCCTTTACGTGTGCAAATGGATAGAAATCAGGATATTCCAAGTCAGGTCAATCATCTTTCCAGTCAAGTTCTTCAGCTGACTGAGATGATTTCTCAATTGACTAGGGTTACCTCTACTGCTAGGAAGACATGGGTCAAGAAAGTTGATCTTGACCGTATGGCAGTCACTGGTGCTTATGCACCACACTGATCCCATTCATGGGCATTTGCATGCATTGTCCTTTACACTGATGCTTTTTGCATTCATCTTATACTCTACATGCGTGTATTTAGTTTGTTTCGCTTTTTTATTTATCCCGTGTGCTTGACATTCCTTTTGTTTGTGTGAGTGTTACTAATTCAATATAGTAAAATTCAAAAACATTAAAAAAGGTTAAAACAAAAAAATATTTTGAAAAAAAAAATGTGAAAAATACAAATATATTTTCGTTTTAGCAAACGACACAACGTTTTGATTTTAAACTGGTTATGTGAATCCGAAACTTTTCAGCGACAATTTTAAAAAGATCTTGGCTTTAACACAATGGTAGAGTGCTTCAAAATGTGCAGACTGAACTGCCCTCCCTTCTCGCTGGTGTCTATCTTTGACTGCCCGGGAGGAGGTAACAGCTCAAAATTCTGCACCAAACGTCCCAAAGTAATGCCAAGAATTGGCAATGCAAGTATGATTCCAGGGCAGCTTCTCCTACCGACACCAAATGGGAGATACCGGAAGTCATTCCAATTGGCCTCGACTTTGGAGTCCTCTTCCAAGAATCTTTCAGGCCTGAACTCTTCGGGTTTCTTCCACTAAGCCGAATTGTTTGCTAGCCACCAAGCATTGACCAAGATTTTGCTTTCCGCAGGAATATCATATCCCCCAAGTTTGGTATCGTAGAGGTTCGTGTGGAGCACGAGAAGAGAAATTGCCATACGGAGACGGAGTGTTTCTTTGATCACTACCTGAAGGTATGGGAGTTTGTGGGTATCGGGTTCTGTGACTTGCACTCCTGGTCCCAGCACTGTGTCGATCTCTTCACGGAGTTTCCTTTGGATCTCTGGGTGATTCACTAATTCTGAAATACCCCATTCAATGGACCATAACGTTGTTTCGATTGCTGCCATGAATTGTTGGGATTGTGCCCCAAATTAGAGGGTTACCATAGGAAGGAAAACGTGGTGAACAAACTTGGAAAGAAATCAATTAGCATCCAGATTTGTTTAAGGTAAGGAAATTTGTTTTGGCATGGTTCTTCTCAATGAAGGTGGCGCCAAATTTCTTTCCATTACGTGTTTTTCCCATTATTTCCATATCTTGACACATCCCTATGGTTTTTTGTACGTGTAGTATTTGTATAAATAGAGATGCTCTTCTTTCAATTATTTAGA